TCTGCCTCTCCTCTCTCTGTGTAACTCTTACTTTCAAATAAATAAATAAATCTCTAAAAAACAAACAAACAAAAAAACTTTCTTTAATTCTGTCTCCAGCAATATAATTTTCCGCTGGGACTTAGTTTAAAAGCCACTAGATATTCGCTGAATTGCAGCCACGTTGCATTGGCATCCTGTGGAGCCCGCTAGCACCCAGGTGCCCTGGACGAGCTGAAAGGTGCCTTACGCGCCACCCGGTTCGCCAGGAGGGTATTGGCCTGGACCCCAGCACCCTGAGCCCCTCCTCTCTCAGCTCCGTCTTTGGCGTCTGTCCGAACGCCGGGACTCGTCCTCCGCTCTCACACGCCATGGCAATGTGTCCTGCCAGGCGGAGCAGGCCCTGCTGTGCCGCTCATTACGCGTTATCAGGATCGTTGATGACTCCGCCTCACGTTGCCGTCTCAGGTTTCCAGGACTTGACCTTGTTCCTGTCCACAGTAATACCCTGGCGGTTAAGACGCCCATGTCCCCATCCCACATCAGCATTCCCAGCTCTGCCCTTGAGGGCAGCTTCCTGCTAAGGCAGACCCTGGGGGGCAGCAGGGATGGCTGGAGTGGTCCCTGCCACTCACATATGAGCTCTTGCTTGGAGCTCCTGGCTTTAGCCCTGCCCAGCTCTGGCTGTTACAGACCTTTGGGGAGTGAACCAGCGGCTGGAACATCTCTCTCATCTCTCCCTCTCTCACTGTTGCTCTACCTTTCAAATAAAGAAAACAAATATTTAGGGGCTGGCGCTGTGGCACAGCGAGTTAATGCCCTGGCCTAAAGTGCCGGCATCCCATGTGGGCGCCGGTTCAAGACTCGGCTGCTCCACCTCCGATCCAGCTCTCTGCTATAGCCTGGGAAAGCAGTGGAAGATGGCCCAGGTCGTTGGGCTCCTGCACCTGCATGGGAGACCCGGAGGAAGCTCCTGGCTCCTGACTTCGGATTAGCACAACTCTGGCCATTGCGGCCAATTGGGGAGTGAACCAGTAGATGGAAGACCTCTCTCTCTCTCTCTCTCTCTCTCTCTCTCTCTCTGCCTCTCCTCTCTCTGTGTAACTCTGACTTTCAAATAAATAAATAAATCCTTAAAAAATAAATATTTAAAAACAATAAAAATGCAAAAAAATCTAGGCATAATTGAAGAAAATATATTTTTAAAAAAACTTTCGTGATGGCTCCACTAGTCAGGATTCTTGGTCCTAACAGAACCAACAGAACCCTCTGTGCCTAACTAACTGGGAGAAAGGGGACCAATTCATGGGCAGGGGACAGAAATTTAATATATGGATAAAAAGCTGAGGGAAATGGCGAGTACCAAAAGCCTTTCTTGAAAATGACACTCAGGGGCCTGTGTCGCGGTGCAGTGGGTCCGGCTGCCGCCTGTGGTGCCTGTGTCCCATATTGGATTCCTGGTTCAAGTCCCTGCCACTCTGCTCCTGATCCAGCACCCTAATGCCCAGGGCAGGCCATGGACTTGGGCTACAACACCCACGTGGAAGATTCCGATGGAGTGCCTGGCTCCTGGCTTTGGCCCGAGCCCAGCCCTAGCTATCTTGTGCATATGGGGCATGAACCAGTGAGAACCTCTCTGCCACTTCTCTGATTCTGTCTGATTTGTAAAGAACTCATAAAGAATAGCAGGAATGGGACCGGCGCTGTGGCCTAGCAGGTAAAGCCGCCATGGGTAGAGCCGTCGGCTGCAGTGCCGGCATCCCATATGGGCGCTAGTTCCAGTCCCGGCTGCTCCACTTCCGATCCAGCTCTCCGCTATGGCCTGGGAAAGCAGAAGATGGCTCAAGTGCTTAGGCTCCTGCACCCATGTTGGAGACCTGGAGGAAGCTCCTGGCTCCTGATTGGCCCAGCTCCAGCAGTTGTGGCCATTTGCGAAGTGAACCAGCAGATGGAAGCTCTCTCTCTCTCTCGCTCTCTCTCTCTCTCTGAAATCCTGACTTCCAAATAAATTGAACTCATCCTCACTTCCCTTGCACCTGCAGCCTCCTCCGGGGTTCCCGCCGAGTGGCTGTTCCAGCCTGAAACCCAGGACGGCACCTTGCTCCCCTCTCTGGCCCTTCCTCCACCTGTGGGTTTGATTTACGTCAGGGCCACGGCCACCCACTTAGTACCCCTGCACTGGAGGTGCTTCCTCCAGCCTTCCCGTCTACTCTGTCCCTAGCCAAGCCACTTCTAACCAGCTGCCGGGGCTGGGAACCTGACCATGACCCCCGCGTCGCTGGATTCCAGTTCCTGCTTCAGCCTCCGGCTCACCTGCGCTGAGAGCAGCGGTTCTGGTTCACCTGGGAAGGAGGGGTTCCTGGGCTGCCTGGGCCTCTGGCGTCCACCCCGGGAGGAGCCCAGGCAGCCCGGCTCCCTCTCCTGCTGGGCTGTAGTTTGCACGTGGGCAAAGGCCACGCTGGCCTTGTTCCCTGGCGTGGGGTCAGTGCTCAGCAGGGTACGGAGTGGAGGAAACGTGTTTTCGTGAGCTCAGAGGGCCTGGGAAGTATCCAGCTCCCATTTTAATGATGGCTTTTACTTATTTGAAAGGTAGAGAGGCAGAATGAGAGATCTCTCACCCTCTAGTTCATTGCCCCAGATAACCACAACAGTCAGAGCTGGGCCAGGCAGAAGCCGAGAGCCAGGCGCTTGAAACAGGTCTCCCGGCTGGCGCCGCGGCTCACTAGGCTAATCCTCCGCCTAGCGGCGCCGGCACACTGGGTTCTAGTCCCGGTTGGGGTGCCGGATTCTGTCCCGGTTGCCCCTCTTCCAGGCCAGCTCTCTGCTGTGGCCAGGGAGTGCAGTGGAGGATGGCCCAGGTGCTTGGGCCCTGCACCCCATGGGAGACCAGGAAAAGCACCTGGCTCCTGGCTCCTGCCATCGGATTAGCGCGGTGCGCCAGCCGCAGCGCGCTGGCCGCGGCGGCCATTGGAGGGTGAACCAACGGCAAAAGAAGACCTTTCTCTCTGTCTCTCTCTCTCTCACTGTCCGCTCTGCCTGTCAAAAAAAAAAAAAAAAAAAAGAAAGAAAGAAACAGGTCTCCCGCGTGGGTGGCAGGAGCCCAAGTACCTGCCGCTTGGCAGGGTGCACACAAGCAGGGAGCTGAAATTGGAAGCAGAGATGGGGTTTGAACCCGGGCACTCTGCTCTGGGACCCGGGCGTCCCACACAGTGTCTCAACCTCTGTGCCAAACAACCACACCCCCAGACCCATTCCTGCAGAAAAGTGATTGTGCGCTTGATGACTGATACGCAAACCTCTTTCCTGAACCATATAGACCCTCCCAGGAGCCGGGGAAACCCCACCCCAGGACAGGCTCTGTGGCTTCTGACAACCATGCTCTGTGTTGCTGTTTCTAGAACTTTCCGTGTGGTCCACACCAACGCCCCGAGACATCTTCACTGCCCCCCTTCGTGGATGCAACCACACAAAGCACTGTGGCTAAGAACAAGCTAGGGGCCCACGTTGTGGCGTAACGAGTTGAGCCACTGCCTGTGATGCCTGCATCCCATTAGGGCACCGGTTCGAGACCCGGCTGCTCCACTTCCGATCCAGCTCCCTGCTAATGCATCTGGGAAAGCAGCGGGAGATGGCCCAAGTGCTTGGGCCCCTGCACCCACGCGAGCCCAAGATGAAGTTCTTGGCTCCTGGCTTCAGCCTGGCCCAGCCTTGGGTACTGCACCCATCTGGGGAGTGAACCAGCGGATGGAAGATCTCTCTCCCCCTACCTCTGTAACCCCGCCTTTCAAATCAAATACATACATCTTTAAATAAATAATCTTTTTAAAACAAAAAGTTGTGGCCGGTCTCGCTAGGCCACAGTGCTTACTGTGAGGGCCAGATCACATAGGACATGGCTTACACACACAAACGGCTGTCCGGATCCTGTGTGTGCCTCCCGGTGCCCAGTCAGTGCAGCCCACGGAGGTTTATCTTCCTGTTCCGCAGAACCCACTTAGGATGGAGTGAGAGAGGCTGCAGAGGTGGGAGGTGCCCACGTTTCCCCCTGGGACTCCGACGTCTCCTCTCTGAGCTGCTTGGCAGAACCTCCGATCCCCCCGTTCTATCAGCAGCACAAACACAAGGGTGCTTCAGGAAGCTTGTAGAGGGCGGGATTGAAAAGTAAGTTTAGGAAGGACATTTGGTGGTCAAGAGGCCACTGAGGACGCCTGCACCCTGTAGCAGGTGCCTGGGTTTGGGTCTCGCCCACCCACCCCACCCCACCCCACCCCACCCCTTTTTTAAAGATGTTTTTATTTGAAAGGCAGAGTGATGGGGGGGTAAGAGATCTTTCATCTGCTGGCTGCCTCCCCACATGGCCACAATGGCTGGGGCTGGGCCAAGCACAAGCCTAGAACTCCATCCAGGTCGCCCACGTGGGTGGCAGGGGCCCAAGCACCATCTTCTACTGCTTCCCAAGGAGCATTAGAAGGGAGCTGGATTGGAAGTGGAGCAGCTGGGACTCGAACTGCTGCTCCAAAAGGGGCTGCTGGCGTGGCGGGTGGCAGCTCAGCTCACTGTGCCACAACGCAGGCCCTCTGGCGCCACGTCCGACCCTAGTTCCCTGCTATGTGCACCCCGGGAGGCTCGAGTCCACGGATGCCTGTCACTCACAGGGGAGACCTGGACGGAGCTCCTGGCTTCCTGGCTCCGGCCTGGCCCAGCCCTGGCTGTTGGTGAGCGTTTGGCGAGTGAACGAGCAGATGGATAATTTCTGTCTCTCTGCCTTTCAAGTAAGGTCATTAAAAAAAAAAAAAAAGTTCATTTTGGTGCAAAAAATATTTGAAATCCAAGCATACAAGGATTCTCCAAGAAAAATATGTATTATGAAAAACAATGCAAATTTTGATTTTCCCCCCACCAACATAAACTCCTTCTTGTAGTCCAATTTTCCACAAACCTCTTGATAACCTTTCCCAAGAGCCCTGCCTCATGAGCGCCTCTCCAGCGGAGACCCCCAGACCTCCAGCCGAGAGCCAGGGTGGAAGACACTAGTTAGCTTGTTTATTTTCCTCGGAAAGTTACAAGGTTACTTATCAACAGAGTGAACTGTCCAGGGCAGAGAAATCCAGTGGCTTCTCTCTCTGTGTGTTGTGGGGGGGGTGTCCACGGGAACCAGGCTTCCAGGGGCGGGTCCTCCACCTCCGAGGCTTCCCTTGGCCCCTTCCCAGGTTCAACAGCCAAGACACGGGGCACAGAGCCCGGCCTGGCCTCGGCACCGGCTTTCAGCGCGGATCAGGTGGCGGCTGGGGGTGGGGACACCCAGGCTCAGTCTCTAGCTAGTGCGGGTGGGGGCCTGGCTCCTGGGAGCCCACCAGTCCCCTGCCACCTTCCAGGCAGGCCGTCTGGGACGTTCCGGGAGGACGCCGAGGGGCTCCCGGCGCCGGCTCTGGCCTTGCTTCCCCGACGTCCTCATCCGGGCACGGAGGCATCGGGGCCTGCCCTCCCCGGAGGTGCGCGTCTTCCCGGCCGCCTTTGCCCTTGCCCTTGTCTTTGTGTTAAGAACAACAATACTCTCCGTGGGACTGTGCTTTGCTCTTTTTTTTTTTTATCCCTGCCTAAGGAACACGTCAACAGGTGCAGTTCTGTTGGTCGATCTGCTTCCGGCAGGGTTCCATGGTGACGGCGACGCCCACGCCGCTCCGGCCGGACGTCATGCGGGTCACCTCGCTCCAGGTGTCAGTGTCTGGGTCGTAGCACTCCACGCTGTCCAGGAACGTGTGCCCGTCGTAGCCTCCTGCGGGGAGAACGGGGCGGGGGCAGGGTGGTCACCGGGCCTTGGCGTCCCCGGGGACAGAAGGCAGAGGAGGTGACCGCGCGCGGGGGGCTGCGCGGCCGCCGGGGTCTCACCGAGGACGTAGATTTTTCCCTGGTGCACAGTGACCCCCAGCGCGCTCCGCCGATGCTTCATGGGGGCTACGAAGCTCCAGGTTTCCGTCTCCACGTCGTAGCGCTCCACGCTGTTGAGCTGGTCCTGCCCATCGTAGCCCCCCGCTGCGTAGATGCAGCTGTGCAGCACGCAGACCCCTAAACCGCAGCACGCACGGAGGGTCACTCTGGGGCCGCGGGCTCGGGGACCCCAGCCGCCACTTCCCCTCTCTCTCCTCTCCCGTCCCCCCGAGGGACGCCTTCGGAAACGACACCAGGAGAGAGGGAGAGGGAGAGGGAGCGAGCCACGGGGCTGAGGGCTGAGGAGGGAGGTCTCACCCAGGCCTGGCCGAGTGTCCCCCCTGGTGGATGGAGGCGGGGTCTTCCTGGACGCCCCACTCCCCGCGGCCCCCGCCCACCTGCCCCGCTTCGGATGGTGTTCATGGGGGTGATCATCCGCCACTCGTTCCTCTCCGGGTAGTAGCACTCGACCGAGTTAAGGCGGTTCGTCCCGTCAAAGCCCCCGACGGCATAGAGCAGGCGGTTGAGGACGGCCACGCCCACCCCGATCCTTCGGGTCAGCATCGGGGACACCAGGTGCCACTCGTCCCGCTCCGGCTCGTACCTGCAGTGGGCAGAGGAACGGTGCTGAGCCCAGCCTCGCCGCAGACCCTGGCGGAACGTCCCAGGAGCCCCCACGCCCCACCTTCTCCAACTCACAATTACTCCCCTGGGAGCCATCAGCGGCTCCATTTCCCAGATGGGAACACAGAGGCTCACGGCCATCCATTGTTCAAGGCCACACCCTTGTCTCTTGGACCCCAGCGGACGGACCCCCATACGCCTCTCCCGGGCCCCGCACTTGAGTGCTAAGTGGGTGACTTTGTCAGAGCTCTCCACCCGCCCCGCCTCAGGGAGGGGGCAGGTGGTCCCCACCGCTGTCCCCTGCTTCGTATGACAGCAAAGGAGCTTGGGCAGCTGGGATCTGGCTCCGGGCCCCCCCGCCCCGGACAGCGACGAGGCTACCGCCCGGGATGCTTTTTCTCAAAGGTGTGACGATCAAAGATGGGGTCGCCACAGGTCCCGGGCGGCCCGGGCCCTCGTGGAGTCCATACCTGTGCTCCTGGAGTAATTTATAGTGTCCCTTTCCTTCTCCAAAGTGGCTGAGACTGATGACCATCCCACCATCCTAGTCACAGACCACACACATTAGAAGCCTCTAGGGCGCTGGTTTAAAATTCCCGCTCTCCAGCTCCAAAACCCGACTCCAGGCTTCCGAGCCTGCCCAGAGCAGCCGGCTGGGGCTCTGCCTTGTGTTACAACAAGCTCTCCGGGGGAGAGCCGTAGCCAGAGACCACACTTTGGGGGGGGGAGAAAGCAGGGCAGGGGGTTTGAAACCCCACAATGGCCAATCTCTCAAGGACAGGGTCTCTGTGCACAGTGGAGGGAACCAAGACATCACACATCCGCTGTTTAGGACAATGTGGGGGGGGGGGGGCGGATGGCGATGAGGTGTTAAGGGGGTGACGTAATCAGCTTATTGCGGGTTGAGCATCCCCAATCCAAAAAATGCTGGCCGGCGCCGTGGCTCACTAGGCTAATCCTCTGCCTTGCAGCGCCGGCACACCAGGTTCTAGTCCCAGTCGGGGCACCGGATTCTGTCCCGGTTGCCCCTCTTCCAGGCCAGCTCTCTGCTGTGGCCAGGGAGTGCAGTGGAGGATGGCCCAAGTGCTTGGGCCCTGCACCCCATGGGAGACCAGGAGAAGCACCTGGCTCCTGCCTTCGGATCAGCGCGATGCACAGGCCACAGCGTGCTGGCCACAGCAGCCATTGGAGGGTGAACCAACGGCAAAGGAAGACCTTTCTCTCTGTCTCTCTCTCTCACTGTCCACTCTGCCTGTCAAAAAAAAAAAAAAAATGCCAGAAAAAAATTCCAAAGACACCAAAACTTTCCGAGTGTGACCAACTAACTGGATGTCGCAAATGGAGTATTCCACACCTGACCTCGGGTTAACAGGCATGGGCGCGCTAACACTACCCTACACGATGGATTGCCTTTGAGCTTTGTGTGTAAGGTATGCATGAAATAGAAATGAACCTCAGGTTTCCAATCCACAAAAAAAAAAAAAAAAAAAGTCCCAAGCACATCCGGGTCCCCAGCATTTCAGATAAGGGGCGCTCAACCCATAGAACTTTGGACAAACAAATCCGCAGCCGGGGAGCTGAGCTCCCATAAGCAGCTCCCAGCCCCCTGGAGGGAGGCGGCGGAGCCGGGCACTGGACGTGGGCAGGGGGGGCGGGGGGTGGGGACCCCCGGGAGGTCCGCGCCGCTCACCTCTCCACGCTGTTGTGGTGGAGGCAGCCGTGGGAGCCACCCACCGCGTAGATGTGCCCGTCAATGACCCCGACCCCGATGCGGTTGCGGGGCACGCTCATGGAGGCGCAGGGCGACCACTGGTTGGTCATGGGGTTGTAGCAGTCCAGGGCGCTGGAGTCGGTGTTGCCGTCGGGGGAGTTGTTCCGGCCGCCCACGGCGTAGAGCAGCCCGCCCACCACGCAGCCCGCCAGGCCGCTCCGCGGCACCTGCAAGTCCGCCAGCCGCAGCCAGGTGCCGTCGCTCGGGTTGTAGGCCTCCAGGTAGCTGAGGGACTGGCGGAAGTAGCCGCCGGCCGTGTAGATGAGCCGGCCCACCTTGGGCGCGCGGCAGGGCATCACCTGCGTGGGCTTGTGCAGGGTGAGCTCCTGGAAGATCTTCACCAGGTAGTCCTTGCAGCGGGAGTCCGACTGCAGGATCTCGCACTTCTGCAGCTGCATCTGCAGGAAGTGCGGCGTGAGCGAGTGGCAGCGCACGGCGCGCAGCAGCGCCTGCACGTAGAAGCGCCGCTGCTCGCAGTCGTACTTGACCCAGTTGATGCAGGCGTGGAAGACCTCGGACTCGCAGCGCACGTTCAGGTCGTCGCGGCTGATGAGGGTCACCAGCTGGCAGTGGGACAGGTTGAAGAACTCCTCCTGCTTGGCCACCTGCAGAGGGCGTCAGGGGGCGGGTGGGGGCGGGGCTGACGCCTGCGCGGCTCCCCCTGCCCCCCCCCCCAGCCAAGGTCAAGTTACTTAATGCGCATCTGACAGCCTCAGATGCCTCATCTATAAAAGGCGGGTTTGAAAAGTATGAACCTTTTTTGGGGGGTGGGGGTGGGGGCTTATCTTTTATTTATTTGAAAAGCAGAGAGAGAAAGAAAGGGGCTGGTGTGTGGCACAGCGGGTGAAGCCGCTTCCTGCCATGCCAAGCATGCCATAGGAGCCCCAGTTCGAGTCCCGGCTGCTCCACTTCTGATCCAGCTCCCTGCTGATGCGCCTGGGAAGTCAGAGGAAGATGGCCCGAGTCCTTGGGGCCCTGCCACCCACGTCGGGGATTCAGATGGAGCTCCTGGCTCCTGGCTGCTCCCCGCTTTGGCCTGGGTTGCAGCCATGTGGGAAGTGAACAGACGATCTCTAACTGCCTTTCAACTAAGTAAATAAATAAACCTTTAAAATAAAAAAGTCAAAATGTTGGTCCCATGACTTTTTTTTTTTTTTTTTTTTGACAGGCAGAATGGACAGTGAGAGAGAGAGAGACAGAGAGAAAGGTCTTCCTTCCATTGGCTCACCCCCCAAATGGCCACTACAGCCAGTGCACTGCACCGATCCAAAGCCAGGAGCCAGGTGCTTCTCCTGGTCTCCCATGGAGTGCAGGGCCCAAGCACCTGGGCCATCCTCCACTGCACTCCCTGGACACAGCAGAGAGCTGGCCTGGAAGAGGGGCAACCGGGACAGAATCCGGCACCTCGACCGGGACTAGAACCCGGTGTGCCAGCGCCACAAGGTGGAGGATTAGCCTAGTGAGCAGCGGCGCCAGCCTGGTCCCATGACTTTTTAGCGGTGACCTTGGGAAAACTTCTGAAACGCCCTCAGGCCTTATTTGTTCTCCTCTGTGAAATGGGGATTGCATGAGTAGCCAAGTCAGGGCCCAGACAAATCAGGGCACCTGTTTTTATGAACACTTTTGTTTCTGGTAACCCAGGCTCACGCAGTCCCAAGGAAGAAACACAGTACAGTTGAATGGGAGGCACCTGCTTACTGGCCCACCCTGTGGACGCCAAGAACCCCAGAGCTAATTCTCCTTGGGGTTATCTGGCCAACCCCGCGTGTAACGGAGTGCAGGAGAGAAAACAAGACCAGGGTAGAGGCCCCCCAACCAGTCCCAGGCGCCAGAAGAAGACGTAGAGAATGTCTGGGATGCATTCTCCAAGGCCGGGGACTCCCTCAGACCTGGGGCCAGGGACACAGCCCTGCTTGCGCAGCCACGCGCCACACTTCCTCCCAGGACGGCTGGGCTGAGTCAGTGAGCCACAGCGGGGCAGTCACGCAGACCATGCGCTGAGCACCTCACCCCAAGTGCTTAGGAAGAGAAGTGCTGGCCGGGAGGGCACAGCACTGGGACCCAGCAGGTTAACGCAGGCGTCCCAGACAAGCAGGTCCCATCTGGCTCCCTGCAAATGCGCCTGGGAAAGCAGCAGGGGATGGGCCAAGTGTTGGGCCCCTGTACCCACGTGGGAGACCCGGATGGAGCTCCTGGTTCCTGGCTTTGGCCTGGTCCAGCCCTGGCCGTTGGGGCCATTTGGGGAGTGAAGCAGTGGACAAAAGATCACTCTCCTCTCTCTCTCTCTCTTCTCTCTGTAACTCTCCATTTCAAGTAAATAATGTAAAATTTTTAAGTGTTTGAGATTTGGATTCTTTTGTGGGTTTTGGGATATCTGCGTGTACACAGCAAGGAAACTTAGGGATGGGACCCGCGTGTGAACACCAAATTCGCTTATACAGGTGTTCTTCCAAAAGTTTGGGGGGGGGGCTGGGTTTAAAAGATAAGCTTATTTTGGTGCAAAAATATTTTGAAATCGGGGCCGGTGCCGTGGCTCACTTGGTTAATCCTCTGCCTGCGGCGCCAGCATCCCATATGGGTGCCGGGTTGTAGTCCTGGTTGCCCCTCTTCCAGTCCAGCTCTCTGCTGTGGCCTGGGAGGGCAATGGAGGATGGCCCAAGTGCTTGGGCCCTGCACTTGGCTCCTGGCTTCGGATCGGCGCAGCGCTCCTGGCGCATAGTGACCATTTGGGGGTGAACCAACGGAAGGAAGACCTTTCTCTCTGTCTCTCTCTCTCACTAACTCTACCTGTCAAATAAAAAAAAAATATTTTGAAATCCATGCCCGGTTTTTCCCTAACACGTATCCCTGTGACGTTCTGGGAGACTCCTGGGTACACACAGGCCCTGAAGGTGACTTCATGCATGGTTTTTAGCGGAACTTCCCACTGGTGGCATCGCGTCACTGCTCGGAAAAGTTTCGGATTCTGGAGTGTTTTGAATCTGGAAAGTCAGATCATGGACATTCCGGCTGCGCCTGGCATCCAAGAGATGCAACCTCAGAACTAGGGCTTAGGACAGTGCCTTTTGGAAAAAAAAATAATAATAACAAAACCCTTGAGTTATTTTCTCTTTGACAACTTCCTCCACGGAGAAACAAAAACGAAACCAAACCCTGCACGATAACAAGGTTGTGGGCACTAAAGAGAACAAGGACCAGGGTCAGGGCAGCCAGCAGCCTGTCTTCGCTGTCCTGGAAGGAACTGCTGACCAGCGCTTGGCCGTGGTCACGGTCACTGCCTTCTGCCCCTACCTTTGACCCCAGGGAAACCAGGGTCACTGTCCTGGTGGTCAGATGTGTGGCCAGGGCCCTCGATCCTCCCCGGCTCCCCCTTGGCGTCTCACGGGGATCACGCCCTGGGGCGCGCCCCTCCGTGCCAAGCCCTCCCGCCTCCCGGCTCACCTCCCCGAAGTGCATGTAGATGTACTCGCGGGCGCGCTGGTGCAGCTCGGCGCAGCCGATCTGCTCGGCGAAGTTGGCGATGCCGATGGCGTTGCTGGGGTCCAGCTGCTGCACCAGGAAGTCGCTGCAGGCGCGGACGACGCTGTCGATCTGGTACATGACGGCACCGTTCATGACGTGCAGCACGCACTTCTCGCCCATGGAGATGGACGCCGTGTAGGCGAACTCAATGAGCCGCTCCATGACCTGGGGGTGGATGCCCTCGATGGACACCACCTCCATGCCCTGCTCCCGCAGCCCGTTGGTGAACATGGCCTTGAAGACCGGGCTGGACGAGGCCAGCACCACCTTGTGGGCCATGAACTGGGCGGCCGGCGTGTCCTCGTACTTGACCTGCAGCGTGACGTCACACAGCTGCTGGCTGAGCCGCAGCTCATTCATGATCCCGAAGGCCTGCTTGGTGTGGTCCTCCAGCGTGTAGCTGAAGGTGCGGTTGCCATGCTGGGAGGGCGTCACCTCGGCCTTGCACTCGGTGGAGGCGAACATCATGGCGTCCCCCGCCCCCTCGGGGCGCTGTGACTGCTGGGGCAGGAATCGGCTGCAGGCCTCCGCCCCGCTAGGCTCGGCTTCCGGCTGCATGAGGTTCCAAGTGACAAGGGATCACGCCGCCACGGACACTCAGGGGCCTGGAGGAGGGAGAGCACAGGGCTGGGGGCAGGGCAGGGGTCAGGCCAGCACCTGCCAGGCCCTCTTTCGTAAGACAGAGCCATTCCCAAAGCAAACCTGGTGAGGTGGGGTCCGGTGGAGCTCCCCACCTTCTCCTGGCCGTGCCCACCCAGGGGTCCACCCAGATCCTGCCCCCACCCCCAAAACCACACAGGACCCCTCAACAGCTGGCAGGATAGTCAGCTCTTGTCCACCCACTTCTCTCCAGCTCACTCCATCCAGCCATCCAGCTACCTCCTCCCTTCCCCAGTCATGTCAAGTTCATTCTTTCGCTCAGCCCTGCAACATCTATTGAGCGCCTGCTGTGTCCCAGGCACTGTGGTGTCCTGGCCCACACCCCTCTGGGAAGGTGAGGTTGGCGCTGGGGCGCAGGGAGCAGCAAGGTCCGGTCAGGAGCTGAGAGACTCACAGAGGCTGAGGGCCAGGGCTTGAGTCACGTTTTGAAATCCGCGGCACCTGCAAGGCGCTCCCAAGCTCTGGGGCTCAGCCCAACGTCGCCTCGTTCTCGCCCCCCCCCCAAACTCCACCGCGGAGCTTCAAGGGGGCAGGGAGCCCCCTGCAGGCCAGCGCTGGGGCCACCCTCTCCTGTGTGTCCCCGCGTCCCGCCCGCGGCCTGGCACTGCGCAGGAGCCAGTGGCTGGCCGGCTGCCCACGCCACGGTGCCTGCCAGAGCCGCCCTCCTCCACCCTGCCCGGCGCGCCGCTCGGCCCCCTCTCCCCATGCGAGGCCCCGGGCTGGCCTCTGGATCTTTGGCCAATCGGTCAACGGTGCCCCTGGGCACCAAGCACTTCCCCCCCGCCGCGAAGCGACAAGTGGGGGACTGCGCATGCCCCGCCTGAGCCGCCACCAAGGCCTTGGAGAAGCGAGGAAGTGACCCCGCCGCGGCCTCTTGGCAGCCAAGGCCGCAGCGCGCACCCAGCCGTCGCCAACGCCCCGGGATCCCCGGGCTTTCGTCTGCGTGCGCTCCCCCCCTGCGTCTCACTCCCGGCTTCCGTGCCTCTCCGGCCGCCCCGGCAGTGGCGCCGTCCAACAAAACGATCGGACCCCGGCCGCGCCCTCCCGGGGCCTCCGGGAACTCGGAGGCGGCCCCAGGGCCCCGCGCTCCCATTCCCGCGGCCCCCGGCCATGGTCGCCGGGGCGCCCGAGGCCCGCGGCGCCCGCAGCCTGGGCACAGGCCGCCTCACTCACCCCGCCATGGTCGCGCTGCGGCTCCGCCTCCGCCGCCGGAGCCCGGGCGCCTCCATCGCTGCGCGCCGGGGGGAGGCGCGGAGCGCGCGTAGGTCACCATGACTAAGCAGAGCGCGGCGCCGGCCATGTCAGAATAAAAGTCCGCCACCCCCCCACCCCACGCTCGGTGCGCCGCGGCTCCTGGCCCCGGGCGGCGTGGACAGGCCCCAGGCCGCGCCCCCAACCCCCGCCCGCGGTCGCCGGGTTGCGCAGCCCCGGCGCAGCAGCGACCACAGCGCCAGCCACGGCGGGGCGGGGGATCGCGGCTCCGTTCGGCCGCGTGGGGCGTCGGAGCCCCGAGTTCGAGGCCCCGTTCCGCGCCCCGGGATTCGCCGCCACCCCTGCCGGGGTTCACTCACCTCCGTCCCACGGGGTGGGGAGGCACGGGGCACGATGGTGCCACCCGCGCGCCACGCTTCCGGGAAGCCCGAGGCGGGGTGGTGGGTGGGGAGCCGCGGCTCTGCGCGGGGTGGCTTCGGCCCTAACTTTGCTACTGGGGACCCGAGGGCGCCCCCGCCGCCTATGGGGGGGCCTCGGCTCCGGGGCGGCGTGGCCAGCGGGGTCGCAGACGTCGGGTGGGGGGTGGCCTCCGGACTCCCGGGAAGGAGGCGGGGAGAAGGCGCGGAGGGCGCGGCGGGGAAGGAGCTGCGATTCCCCGCCTCTTTCCCCGCAGGTGCCTTCGCGAGGGACCCGGCGTCCCGCAAGGGTGCAAGGCCGGCGGGGCGGGCAGGTCTCGCACCCCTCTCGCACCGTCCCTTCCATCTGGGCAGGTTTCGTCCCTGGGGCTGCTGTGCGCGACACCTGTTCTTCTTATCCACACAGTGCATGCCCGCTGGAGCCACCTGCCTAGCTGGGTTCCTGTTGTCTTTATTTTTCAGTTATGCATGGAACCCACCTGCGGGGATTCGAACCCCCGACCCGCCTGCTGCTAACTCTGCGCCCACAGAACCTTAGTTTCTTCCACGTTCCGTGATGGCGAGGACAAAAGCGCTATTGCTAATTTTTCTCGGCACGGTTGCTCTTGATGACATGAAGTTAACTTTTCAACAGACGCATTTCAAGTTTGAAAAGTGGACAGGCCGAGGAGATGTTTGTCTAAGAACAGGGTTGCTGGAGTCTCCGACGTGAAATCTGGGGGCTTTTGATGTTCGGGCTCTGGGTCTGGGGTTGAACCGGGCTGGGGTGGAGCGCTCCCCACACTGGGCTGTGTGAAGCTGCAGTTCCGGGAAGCTCCCGAGGGGGGCGCTCCAGCCGTGACTGTAACCCACAGCCTCTGACATCTCTCCAAACCAAACCTGCAGGCCCCGTGGGCCAGCCGTGCTGCCTGTAGAGATGTACCCAAGAGACATTCACAAGCGTGCAAAAAAGTGTTATGTGCACAGTCTTACTGCAATATGAGGTCTGTTGTGGCAAAGAATTGTAGCAACCTGCGTGATGCTCCGTGGGCTTGGTACGAAGTGGCAGGGGCTGGTGTTGGGGCACGTGGAAGTAAGCGCCATCTGGCACATCGGCAACCCATATCAGAGTGCCTGCGCTTCCAACCCACCTTCCTGCGACCAGTGTGGGAAGGCTGCAGGCGTGGCCCAAGGACTGGAGCCCCTGCCACCCACGGGAGAGACAAGGATGGAGTTCCTGACTCCTGGCTTCAGCCTGGCCCAGCGTGGATGTTGCGTCTGGAGAGTGACCCACATTAAGATGCCCGTGTCCACACTGCTGCACGTGGCTCCCCCTCCTCTTCCTCGTCCTCCTCCTCTTCTTCTTAAGATTTATTTATTTATTTGACGGCTGGTGCCGCGGCTCACTAGGCTAATCCTCCGCCTTGCGGCGCCGGCACACGGGGTTCTAGTCCCGGTCGGGGCGCCGGATTCTGTCCCGGTTGCTCCTCTTCCAGGCCAGCTCTCTGCTGTGGCCCGGGAGTGCAGTGGAGGATGGCCCAAGTGCTTGGGCCCTGTACCCCATGGGAGACCAGGAGAAGCACCTGGCTCCTGGCTTCAGATCAGCACAGCGCCGGCCGCAGCAGCCATTGGAGGGTGAACCAACGGCAAAGGAAGACCTTTCTCTCTGTCTCTCTCTCTCTCTCTCACTGTCCACTCTGCCTGTCAAAAAAAAAAAAAAAAAGATTGAAAAGATTGATTTATTTATTTGAAAGCCAGAGTAACAGAGAGACAGAAGTAGAGATCTTTCATCTGCTGGTTCATTCCCCAGATGGCGCCAACGGCCAGGGTCGAGCCAGGTCAAAGCCAGGAGCTTCATCCAGGTCTCCCATGTGGGTGGCAGGGGCCCAAGTACCTGGGCTGTCATCTGCTGCCTCCCAGGCCATCAGCAGGGAGCTGGAGTGGAAGTGGAGCAGCTGGGACTTGAACCGGTGCCACAGGGGATGCCAGCGTTGGCTCTGCCCCCTACCCCACAACGCCGGCCCCGTGGCTCCATCTTTGACCCCAGCTTCCTGCCAGTGTGGACCTTGGGAGACAGGAACTGAGTTCCTCCCGGCTTCCAGCTTCGGCATGGCCGGGTCCCAGCCGTTGTGGGCACTTGGGGAGTGAACCAGAGCATGGACGGTCTCTCTCCCTCTCTCTCCCTCTCTCTCTCTCTCCCTCTCTCTCCCATCCTCTCTCTCTCCCATCCTCTCTCTGCCTCTCAAACAAACAGATAAACATTTTAAAATACACAAAGTGGCATCGCGACAGACACCAGAGAGCTCGCTCCGCCTCGTGAGGGCGCAGTAGGAAGGCAGACGCCAGCCAGCCAAGCAGAGGGCCCTGACCGGAACACAGCCATGCCGGCACCCTGATCCGGGCCCATCCGGCTCCCAGATCCGAGAGGAATACATCTCTGTGGTCAAGCCACCCAGGTATGACATCTGTCTTGGCAAACCAAGCCGACCAGGGCGGGAACACAGTGCAGACGTGTGGCTGGGGGACAGTCCCCCGAGAGACGCTGAAGAGGAGTGAGCAAAGCGGAGGGCGCGGGTGAAGAAGACAGCAGGTGCATTTACATCTCGGCAGATTCAGCCACAGAACAGTTCTGGAAGTTTCTCTGGGAACCCCAACACTGATGTCCATTCAAAAGGGGAACTGGGTGCTTTTTAATTGTATGTTTAGATTTATTTTTATTTATTGGAAAGGCAGAGTGACAGATGGAGAGACAGAGAGAAAGAGAGATCTTCCACCTGTTGGTTCATTCTCCCAGTGCCCACAACAGCCGTGACTGGGCCAGGCCAAAACGAGGAGCCTGGAACTCCATCCGGGTCTCCCACATGAGTGGCAGGTGGCCAAGCACTTGGGCCGTCCTCTGCTGCTTCCCCAGGCACATTAGCAGGGGGCTGGAACAACCAGGACTTGAGCCAGCGCTCTGATAGGAGATGCTGGCTTTGCAGGCTCTGGAGTGGAGAGAGAGAGGTCTTCCATCCACTGGTTCACTCCCCGGATGGCTGCAACAGCCAGAGCTGGGCCAGGCGGAAGCCAGGAACCAGGGGCTCCATCCAAGGCTCCCACATGGGTGGCTGGCAGGGACCCAAGTATCGGGGCCCTCACCTGCTGCCCCCCAGGGTGTGGGTTCCCGGGAAGCTGCCATCAGAGGCAGCACAGTATTCAAACCCAGGCCGTGGGCAGCTATGTCACGCGGGGGTCCCACGTGTTGTCTTAACACCCGCCCCTCTGTGCGCTTTTTGTTTTTCATGAAAAAAAAAATCTAAACATCTCCCACCACCAAATAACCACACCACTGACTGGGGTGGCCTCGGGGGTCTCCCGGGAAGATTTGAGAACCCTTGATGCGGGCAGGAGTGCCAGGCAAAGGAGGGGATGTGGGCCAGTCCTGAGAGCGACCTGGGATCGCGGTCCCAGGCTGACAGCGTGGGTGTTCCGGAAATCAGGTCAGTGCCCGCTGAGTGTGGCCGCCAAGGGCAGTTCCAGTCCCCCAGGCGGCCGACCTCTTCCCGACGGCCTGCAGTTCCAAGTCCTACCGGAAGGCGGCGCACCGCGGGCTGAGCCCGAAGCCAGATGCCCCTTACCCGGGCCCCCTGGGCCAACTCGGCCATTCAGAGGTCAGGAATGCGCCTGGGGGCCCTGGCCAGCCTTTTATGGGCACCGACGGGGGCAGGGGGCCTGGTATCGCCCCCAGGCAAGAACGCCTCGTGGGATCCTTGTGGGGAGAGCCTGGGGATACCAAGCCCAGCGGCCTGAAGCCTGACAGCCAGGGCAGGGACACTGGGAGAGGAATCCCGCTGTCAGATGGGGACAAGGAAACCTACCCTGGCAAAGGGGGACCGAAGCTGAGCCCTGGGCTAGCACCGGGAACTTGTATCGCTCTTATTATTTTATTTGTATATTTTATCAACAAGCCGACACCGGCACACAGAGCAGTGCTATTGTCAGGTTTTGGCTGAGGCGCTGGGGCAATGTCCTCACACCCAATTCCGGCCCTATTGTGTGCCTCCCGCAGAGGGCGCTCGTGAGCACCTGCACGGGGCAAGTCCTTCCATGACTTCCAGTCCACGCACAGCAAAAGCCAAGTCCTGCCTGCAGCCCGCAAGGCCTTGCACAATCTTCTGCCTCACCTCCCGGGGCTGTCTCTCGTTCCTCCTGGATCCCTGCAGCCTCAGGTCCTTTGCACATGTGGTTCCCGCCTCCTGAGACTCCGTTCCCTCGGGTGTTCCCAGGACAGCTCACGTCACCTCGGCAGAGCGGCCTCCCCCAGGCCACCGCGGCATCCTTCTAGGTCACTGGGATCATCTCCATTATGTGGCCACTCTGTCGTTGTCTGTGTCTCCCGCGCCAAAATGCTAATTCCACCGGGCAAGGATTTTGGTCTGTTCACTGTTGTTGGGGTTGGCGGCAATAAACGCACGCCCCCTCTGCGTCTTTTTTCTCCCTCCACCACTGTGTTTTCTGCAAATTCTTGCATTCCGGCTTCCTGCTGCTGCTGACCCTGGGAGGCTGGGTGCCCCGGCTGCAGCCCCAGCCCAGCCCCTGGGGAGTGAAGCCGTGGCCGGGCAGTCTCTGTGCCGCGCTCCCTCTCTCTGTCTCTCCGCCTTTCCAAAAAGAAAGAAAATCTGTAGAACAGCTCTCCGGGTGGCAGTGGCGGGCCGAGGTCACGAGTGTGCGGCTAGCTCCAGTGCCAGGGTCCTGGCGGCCATGGGCGCGCCGGGGCTGCCGGCGGAACCGCTGGTGTCCAGTGCATCCTGCTGGGGTGAGGAGCGCTCCGAACGGCTGGAGCTGACGTCCAGGCCCGGGGGCAGGCAGCGGCTCAGGCCACGCGAAGCCCCGGCCACGCTCGGGGACTGCTGGGAGCCGCTCTGGCTTCGGCCACACGGACGGCGGCCACAGCAGAGGAGCCTCAAGAGCGCGTGGCGCAGGTCGCGGTTGGTGAGTGTGTAGATGATGGGGTTTAGAAGCGAGTTGGCCATGGCCAGGCCCAGGAAGGGATCCGCCTGCAGGAGCACAGGACAAGCACGCGCCGGGCACGCCACGTCCAGCAAAAGCAGCAGGAAGAGAGGACCCCAGCAGGCCACGAAGGCCAGGAGCACCACGCTGAGCGTGCGCAGTAGCGCCAGGGAGCGAGGCGTTCGCCGCGCGCGGCTCGACGCGCCCCGGCCAGCCCTGGGTCGCGCCCGCAGGCGTCTGGCGTTGGCACGCACCTGGCAGTAGATACGCGCGTAGAGCGCACAGATGGTGGCCAAGATGCCCACAAAGGCCAGCACGCAGAAAAGCACGTAGGCCTTGGCGTAGAGGGGCAGGACCGTGGAGCAGGCGTCCAGGCGACCCAGGCAGTTCCAGCCCAGCGCGGGCAGCAGCCCCAGGAGCAGCGACACGCCCCAGGCGGCCGCCGCCAGAGCCAGCGTGCGACCCCGACTGGCGGCGGGCGCGGGGCCCCGGCGCGCCATGGTGAGGTGGCGCTCCAGGGCGATGGCCAGGAGGCTCAGCACCGACGCGGCGAGCGCCACGAAGACGCCGCCCTCACGCGCGAACCAGAGCGCAGGCGACAGTCGCAGCGTGAGCGGCCCCGACAGCAGGATGTTGGTGGCGTAGGCGGCGCCGGCCAGCAGGTCAGACAGCGTGAGGCTCCCCAGGAGAAGGAACATGGGCGCGTGGAAGCGCGGGTGGCGCGCGAGCACGAGGAGCACGGCCAAGTTCTCCAGCACGATGAGCGCGCACACGGCCAGGCACACGGCGGCGTCGGCGCGCAGCCCCGCGCCGGGCTGGTAGCGCGCGCCCCGGAGCTTTCCGGTGTAGTTGTAATGCAGGACGATGACCTCGCTCACCGGTGCGGGTCGCAGCAGGCCGGGCTCCATGGGCCACCCGCCCCAAGGCTGCGGAGAGATCGAGCCGCCGTCTTCCCCCGCGGCGCGCACCTGCGGAGGCCTGCGGAGGCAGGAAGCGAATGGGCCGGGAGCTCTTGAGATTGGAGCCTTAACCCCCGCCCACCACCCCGCACGTCCCTCACGCACACGGGGGCCTAAAGGGGGCGTCCATGGACCACACAATCTCGTGGGGGTGAGGGAGCAGGGTGACACCCGATCCCGCCAAAAAGGGACACTTGGAACACACCCAAGCAAGGTTACCCTGAGACACGTTCACCACCAGACAAGTGTGTGAGCGGCTAGCCTGTGGTTAGAACTTGTCCCGGCGCTGTGGCGCAGCCGATAAAGCCGTGGCCGCATCCCATCTGGGCGCCAGTTCGAGTCCCGGCTGCTCCACTTCCGATCCAGCTCCCTTCTGATGAACCTGGGAAAGCAGAAGAAGATGGCCCGAGTGCTTGGGCCCTGCACCCATGTGGGAGACCCGGAAGAAGCTCCTGGCTGCTGGCCATTTGGGAAGTGAATTAACGATAGAAAATCTCTCTCTGTATATAAATAGTGACACCCAGACCCGGGCCCATATACAAGAGGAAAAACACAGTCAGACACCATCACAGAAATACAAAAATACGTTCATACATGGACACGGTGACACGGGCAAAGACACACAGAGACACGGCTTCACACGCAGTGGCACAGACCACAATTTCACAGCCGCTGCCCACATTCAGCCTGGGGCTCAGAGCCTCACACACACCCCAGGCCTCCTCCTGCGCAGACCCCTTCTTGCATGCAAACGTGCCACCTCCCACCCACCCCCCAATCCCCACCCCCACCCCGCTCACACACACACAAAACACCAGAAGACTGATGTATCTGCCCAGAGGCACAGACGGGCGCTCCCCGAGGGCCACACATGCCATTACAATATAATGACACTTCCCATCCTGGTACTGCACCCTGTAATCCTCTCCACAACTCTTGTCCTAGCCCCAATGTACAGATGAAGAAACTGAGACTCAAAAGGAAAATTTTGTATAGAAGCAGACGTAGGTCTTCAGGCTCCCACACAAGACACAGCCAGGCAGAAATGCTGCCCCAGCCACCGCGAGCCCCCAGACAGACAGACAGACAGACACACACACACAAGGGAGGGACCCTGAACAAATAAAGACAGACAAGGAGGAGCCGCGGGGAATGGATGCGCAGACACACGGGTTCTGCGTTCTCTGTTGCGGGCACAGCTCGGCGTCTGCACCAACCCCCTTGCCGCAGCTTGCCTGGAAGAATTGAGGCAGCGAAACTTGCAGTGGCCGGGCCAGGAGGAGACGAGACTGGGGGATTCCAGTCCCGCCGGAGCTAACCGGCTTTCCCCACCCTATGGCCTCCAGGAAGGAATCGGGAACTCCGGTAAGGGAAGCTGCGCCTTTCCAGACCCAGAAAAGTGGCCAAGGGAGCCTCTCCGGGCCGAGCCGAGCCCCGCGCCCCCAAGGACCCAGGGCTGCACACTCACCCTGCGCCCTGGTCGTGCGCGCCCCGCAGTCGCGCGCCTGGAGCCGAGTGAGCGGACACGGCTCCGGGGGGCGGGGCTGCAGCGGGGAGGCCGGGGGGCGGGTCCGCGACGCGCCGAGCCGGCGGTCGCAGGCAGTCGCCCCCTCCCTTTGGGGCCCGGGCACTGAGCCCGTGGCTGCCAGCCGGTGCCACCCGCCGCGGCACCGGAGATCGCCCCGGCGGCGACTGGCACCGGCGCGCCCTCAGTTCCCCCGTCCGAGCCTGGGCTGCCCTCCTAGGGGCGCTCCGTCGCGGTGGGAGACCCCGGGGACGAGCGAGCGGGTGGGTCCTTCCGTAGGGGCGGTCGCAGCCGGAGCCGCTTCCCACGCCGGCAGAGGGGTCCCGTCCGTCCTCCAGCGCCTGGGCGCGGGCTCCTCCCCCGTTCTCCGCCGTCTCCCAGTAGGATCCCTTAGGCTACCCCGAAGGACGCCCAGTCGGCCCGCCGAGGGACTCCGAGGCGGCTCAGATTAGGAAGGGTCTTAGGCAGAGGGGAGAGGGGGGTCTTGCGTCCTGGCCCTCCTCCCCGCACCCTGCCCCCAGCAGAGAAGGCTGGGCGGCTCCGCACACACGGGCCCCTCCCCGTTTCCCCCGTTCCCACCCCCGGCCTGGGGAGAGTGGAGGAGGGGCAGGTGCAGGCGGGATTCGGGTGGGAACTTTCCTGTCCCCAAATAAGGAGGGCCTGGCTGGTCTGGCGCCCGGGCTCCCTCGCCCCCCCTCCCCCTCC